ACCCGAAACGTCAGCTTTCCTGCTCCTCTGATGCTACCTGGCCTGCTGTGTTCCTCCAGCTCCACACTGTGTTATCTCTGACTCCAGCATCGACAGTTCTTACTATCTCTGAGTGATGCTTATTGGCTGTTGTTTGGATTACCAGGCCTTTAAAGGCAGAATGCTGCCTATGAGAATGGGACAATTTAGGCTAGGAACTCTTCAGCTCCAGCAGCTCCATTGACAGCAATAGCCACTACTGATGCCTCAGGGAGACAGGAGCAGCAGTCAGGGATGAGGGTTTGAGAAGAAAGTGTATGAAGCAGGCTTGGTACAACTTGCCACTAATTTATTCATAGCCAGGGGAGGCCAAGGCCAAGTGAATAACCTGGCAACTTTTATTGGCTTGCAAGACAAAAGTGGAATTTTGTTTGTGGAAGGGTGGGAGTGGTGGGATCTCCTGTGCCCACCAGAGGAATCACACAAGCCCCACACAAATATATTCTACCTTTAACCTTTCCCCACCCTAACCTTGAATCCTCTCAAATTCCCATCTCAGTCAAGCTCTCACTGGAGCCTAACAGTTAGCTCCCAATTTTAACTGGAGTTACCTTCAGTCCTGCCCCAGGACCACCTCCTCGTCAGGATCTGCCTGAAATCCCAGCAGTAGCCCCAACCCAAACGTGGTGCTGTGAAGACTACAGTGTTGCTAGCCAGTCAAATAGGCTGGCAGCTGTCCAGGGTGGGACTTCTTCAGATGGTGATGGCAGGCGTGCCCTTAGCCCTGTGACTCCCATCAGGATGTAAAATGGCTGCACGATAGTCAGGATATTTGTAGTTCAGCTCCCAATTGCTTTTTTCATTGGGATGGAGACCACAGCATTCCCATAAAATCCAGCCCTTGTTACAGCCAGCTTTCAGATTGAGAATTGAATGGTCTAAAGAAAACATAAATGGAGAATATAGGTACCATACATATATTCATATGACAGTTCATGAAGTTAAATCTCTCAAGGCATTTTACCAAAGTGGAGAATAAGAAGGAAATGACTTATTAAAACACAAAGCTGTACTTAAAGAAAAAGATAGCAAGCTAAAAAGATTTCTGTAATATCTGTGAGCTTATAAGTGTGAGTACTGAAGATTTTTCACTTATTACTAGCTGCCAATCTTTCTCTTTGGCTGAAAAAGTTATCAGATATTAACATGAAGTCCAAATGGGATGTGTGTTGTAATGTCACATAGACTGCACATACAGCTGGGGTCTCATAACTATGGCAAGCCAGTCAATACACTAAGTAATATTGTTATTCTCCAAACACATTCCTTAATTTACTTTAAGAGATTTTTTATTTCTTTAGTTTTCATTTTTAATTTGCCTTTCTGACGTGTTTTTTTTCTCTCTCTATCCAATCTCAATTTCTCTTTCTGTTGTAGCATTGAATTTGTTCACTCTAATTCACTATCCTTCTTGTCAATTTAAATCCTTTAATCTTGGTAGAGGAGATAGATTGTTTTTCTCATGGTTTACCAAACTTGTTGCACTTTCTATGCCATCATGAACTCACAATTCAGGCAAATTTATTGGCAAAAATGTATTTAAAACTTACATACATACTAACAAATCTAACAGATCACATTCCAGCAAAATATTGACCATTGTGAATTATTTTTCTGCGGAAGGAGGGTATTGGTACACTGCCAACAAAGAAATTACATGTATTGAGTCTTCTCTAACCAACAATCTTGATACAAAAAGCAATTTTTCAATAATGGAAAATACCTATTTTTTCCAGTAAGAAAATGACTGTTTGAAAGATTTCAGCCATTTCTACAATAGTGGTCAAATGCAATATCTCATAACTTCAAATTCAAGTCAGTTGTCTTTCAAGAATTTATTGTGTCTGTGTCTGTGTTATTTGAAGTTTACGAAAGCAGATTTTGAGTATTTCGCTGCTGACTGTCCTTTTATACAACACATAAATCATTGTGCATGTAAAATGATAAAATTCAGGAAGAATTTTGTTTACTGAGCTAATGAAAGGTCTTGATTTTTCTACTCTGAACAATTCAGGACTTTTTTCACCTCAGAATATGAATAAAAATAATGTTTCTCAAATGACTTCAGAGCATTTTCCTGTGAACTGCTTAAATACACTTTGTTCGAGGTGTCAGAGATAATACATTTTCCAAACTGTTGTCTTTTTTGTTTGGAAATAACAAGTAAACATTGTCTGAATTGAAGGTGCTTATATTTATAAATATCATCTTATGGATAATTATAATGAAGACATAAACTTTTACTGAGCAGAATCCTTTCTCTGCCAGAATTGTCGTGACAACACAGCTGGTGCGCATTGTGAAGTGTGTGCTCCTGGGTACTATGGAATAGTAAGAGGATCTCCAAATGACTGCCGTCCTTGTGCTTGTCCCCTTCAAATCTCCAGTAACAAGTAAGATTCTAACATTGCAGTGCTTCAGATCCCAGTGGCAAGAACTATGCGACAATATCATCCTGAATGTTTGTGGAGTCCTCACGATCACTAATCACAGCTTGAGGAGATCAAGACATCCAGTCAGGCAGTTGCTTTCAGAAAATTGCACCATTCTTCAGGATTCACTGTGTCTGCTAAACTCAATTTTGAAAATATCTGTGGAATTTTCACTCTTAGATTATTAAAATTATTAATTTACATATATAAAATTATGAACATTAAATACAAAAACTGACCCAAATTAAGCTGTGACTGCCCGAAGCTATTGAAACACTTTGCTTGCACCAAACATTACATTTATGGCATGTCATTACTAGTTTCATCCCTTCACATCTCTTCTCGAAGTGCTGACATTTTGCTATGAGGCATTGCATTCTTGCTGGTCCATCTCGTATACCTCCCCCAAATGATCTGGCTTCATATTGCTCCAAGGCAACAGGCTGTTCCACCCCAGCGGGAGCTGTGGTAGATTTTGATCTGGTCTTCACCAAACCACATCTGTTCAATTGGAACATGAATGTAAAGTAGCGATCAGCAACCTCAGTCAATTTTTCTCCCGTTAACCTGTGGGTAATAAGCTCACTAGTAGTACTTCCACAGTTGCCTACCTGAGATCAGGGAGTTCAGTGTTGACCAGAGAATGATCTGCATAGTTTTATTGCTTAGATAGACACAAGCCTAACCAACTTTTCCTTGTATTTCATGTATGGGATGTGAGTGTTGTTGGCTAGTCCAGCATTCATTGCCTTTCCCTAATCGCACAGAGAGCACTTTGGAGGCAACTACATTGCTGTGGATATGGACTGACACATAGGCTAGAAGGATGGCAGATTTCCTTCGCAAAAGGACATTTGTGAACCAGAGGGATTTTCCCCCCAGTGATTGACAATGGTTGCCATGAGACTAGCTTTTAATTCCTGTTTTGCATTGTATTCAGATTTCACCATCTGCCATTGTACGAGTTGAACCCATGTCCCCAGCACCTTTGCCTGGGTTTTCGGATGACTAATCCATTCATGACTCTATCACAATGGTACTGGTTCTCTCCTTCTCAACCATCAGGAGACCCTATATTTGAGATTTATTGAATTGTGATTGACATGTTATCATAAGAATAATGAAGCAGAAGATCAGAAAAGTTTGTTCCCACCTCATCTATACTTTAGTGATAGAGTTGTGTTGCCATAGGCACAAGTCAGTAACCATCCCCTCTCCCAAACTCAAAGATCGATACATCTCTGCTCCTTTTCCCTTGATTTTTGTTTCTGGGAAAATACGGATTCCCTTGGGGCAAATATTCTGTCTTGTGCATCATGATGTTTTAATATTCTCATTAACCATGGTTAAAATGACTCAAAATGTTTTAGTGAGCAGTAAGAATTTAAATTGTTGAGATAGTGCTGGCCTCAGTGTCATTCAGACTTTTCAGTGTCAGTCGAGCCTGTCAGCTGCCTGATGGAACACTTTATTAATTTTATGGATGAGATGAATGCTGATCATTGTTGCACTTTAAATGTGCTGTTACAGAAGGAAGAATCATCCTGCGGTGCAATGAAATAACCTCGCAGTACAACCCAGCCCTGCAAGGAAAACTGTATTCTTACTTAAAAGTATTGATATTATTTTAATGTGTATGCAGCCTGGCATTTATGCTGCCATTGAAAATGAAAGTAGCATATCTTTAGATTAATTTGTTATCTACTTAGCTTCAGTTGACCATTTGTATTTAATTACTTTCAGCTTTAGTCCTACCTGCGTTATAGAAGGACATCATGCTTATCGCTGCGATGCATGTAAAGAAGGATATGAGGGGCAGCACTGTGACAGGTAAAAAGTCATTCTGATCATAGATGTTTTAAAATAATTCAAGGATTTTTAAGAATTATCAATAAAATTAAATAATTATGGTATTGTAAATAATTCCAAGGCTTTATAAACATATTTTCTTAAAATATTATAATGCTTTAAACCTTTTTAATGAAACAATTGCTTACGTACATTAGCGGTGAAATTAGGGGACCTAAAGATAAAAGGCTGCATAGTTTGGGCAAGAGCAGCAGGAAATTGGGAGGGCATGGTGTGATGCTATCCAAGTAAGGGAACATTTTCCACTAACTGGATGTTGCAGTGGACAAGGTGCATTGCTTTAATCATAGAATCCCTACAGTGTGGAAACAGGCCATTCGGTACATTGAGTCCACACTGATCCTTCGAAGAGCATCCTACCCAAACCCAACCCCTACTCTATCCCTGCTTTTCCCGTGGCTAATCCATCTAGCCTGTATGTCCCTGGACACAATAGGCTTTTTAGTATAGCCTGCATATCTTTGGACTGCGGGAGGAAACCCACTCAGACACGGGGAGAACGTGCAAACTCCACACAGACAGTCACCCAAGGGTGAATCGAACCTGAGTCCCTGGTGCTGTGAGGCAGCAGTGCTAACTACTGCCGCCCTTTAATATACTGTCCTCAAGGGTTTTGGGTATTTCCAGTATAACAGAGAGGTTATTGGTTATGCTGAAACAGGCCCTTTGAGAAAACAGTGAGACTGAAATATTGTTGGATTGGGAATGCAGATGTGCTTATGTTGCAAGTGGCCCTGCAGGCACCAGAAATGGTGGGATAGTCACGTGCAATATCTAAACCCCTCTTATTCGAGGAAATGTGACTGGATCAGTGTTGTATCCAATGAGTAAGGATAAATTCCAGGGCCCAGTTCCAAAAAGCCTGTCACACTATTTCTGGGTTCACATTGGCTATATTACCAAAGTATTTGAAGTTTTTTCAAACCGTTTTCAAATACTGATTTTGTAAATTTTTAGGTGTGCACCTGGTTACTATGGTAATCCAAGAATTGAAGGAAGCTCTTGTATACAATGTGAGTGTGATCCTGTTGGTTCATTACCTGTACCATGTGACAAAGCCACTGGTCAATGTAGTTGCAAACCAGGAATGAGGGGCTGGAACTGCGATAGCTGCATGGAGTGGCATGTTCGCGAGGGCACAAAATGTATTTGTACGTATCCTAACATCAAATATTATTCAAATCGTGTGTGCTGATTTGTTTCCATGTATTTTTTTCTAACATGAAAAATTCAAACAGCTGGACTCCATAAACCACACTGACATTGATTCATCTTAAGAAGGCTTTCAACAAATACAGGTAGAGATATGGCAGGATCCTATCCAAATGGCTTTGTCTTCTACAATTTGATACTGACATTGTGGAAACGATGTATAGCAAAGTGCAGCTAGCTTCTCAGTTTTCAACGCTTCAGGATGCCACTGTAGCCTTGAGTGTCCCCAGTTTCCATCCTTTGATAATCCTGATAAGATGTTGAGTTTAGTGCTGATATATTTACAGAAACATATTAAGAAACATATTATACCCAGAAATCTATTTCTTTCAAGCAGATCTGCAACAATCATCCAAGCTTAGCAGATCGTTTTTTTTTATTTGGTGCACTTCCATGTCTTTCTCAGTCTCTTTTCTCATAGCTTTCTACTGTCTGTAGCTGTTCTGGTTTTCATCAGGCTAAAGATCAAGGCATCTGCATTGTCAGAAAATTCTCCCAGAAATGGATGTGCTAGCAGCTTCATAAAACTTTACTACGAAGGAATAATGTTAGCGCTTCATTTGACTTCTGTTGACTATCACAAATGAGGGTAGCCAACTTTTCTGTGTTCTATTCAAAAGACTTTATGGATTAGCACTGAATCCACTGAAATAATTTACATTGATTTGATTTTCCTGTTGCCTGCTATTGCTGAAAAATTATTTCCTAAGGAAGTAACGAGGACTTGACCTTCCAGAAAACTATGAAGCTGAGCCAGTCATTTTGGATAGTAGGCAATTTGTTTTCATCACAGGAAGTTTTTCTTCCCATTAATAAATGTAGGTTAAAGGTTGAGGTTTGTAAAGACAATGCTACAAAGGTTGAAAATAAGATCAACAGTAAGGTTCAGTGGCCACGAAGAGTTTTGAAGTCATACAATTTAAATATACTGTTTTCAATAATAATTGATGAATGATCGACACATTAGTAAGCATTATTCTATCTGTTATTTATACAGAGATATTAACTTATGGTTAACTAATATGGACCAGACCAAACCCCTCAAAATATATTAAGAAGATAGACTAGATCCTAACTTTTTTTTATTTTAAGGCAAGTGCCGGGCATTGCATTCCAGATACAATCCGATTGGTCAAACTACTAGATTTGAAGCAAAACACACTTTGTTCATACACTTTGGTTAAAATACAACAAAAGAAAGAAGAAATTGCAATAACTTAACTCTATTGGAAAACTTAATAAAATAATAGATTATTTAACTGCTAAGCAGTAACTGTTACAATATATTACATCCCAGAAACACACCCTTGGCAAAGGCAAATTCAGTAAAATAGATTGTCTCACATGCAGTTCTTCAGGCAGAGAAACATCAAGAGAAAGCTCTGAAACAGAGAGTAGCCAGGAGAGATGTACTGCAGCTTTCAAACCCAACTTCAAGACCCAGCTTCTGAAAAACTAACAATCCTGGCTCTGTGGAAGCTTGACCCCACGCATTCAGGCTGCTTCTATTGTTTCAACTCTTTAAAAAAAACCCAAGGCCTCACAAGCTGTTCATTTTATTGGATTTATATAGTCAGTTCTGCGCATCTGTCTTAAAACCTCTCTTCAAACCAAAAGCACAATATCTACCTCTTAAAGGCAAAGTATCATCTCATAACTTCCCTTAGGATTTTTGAAAAGCCTCATTAATAATACATTCCCTTAAAAGAGGATGCATTTCTAATTTGTGACTAATGTCTGACCTGCTAAATACTTATCCACAAACATTGCCAAAGGTAGTTTCTCATCTATTATCAATTTCATTGTCACTGTTCAATATAGGATAGAGTTTATTGTTCAAATTGAATATTCTCAATTTTTCTTTAGTTTGTTTTCTCTCTCTAAGTTGTTCCTTTATGCTAAAATTAGTGACAAACTTCAGAAAGATAGCCCTAAGAACCTACCACCTCAAGAAAAGATGTTAGGCTTACTGATTTACCCGTGTTGAGCTAATTATATATTTTGATGGATTTTAGTTCATTCAGCTGTTGAATGATCAGTTCGGAGTCTCACTATTGATCTCTATATGATAACGCACTTGAAACTTGGCAGTGCTGAAATAATGGTCTGACCTATGCTTTTGGTAGCTTGTTCCTAATAAGCTGCAGTCATTTTCTATCTTATACAAAAATTGCTGGTGGCATGAGTGCCTTATGTTTACAAAGTAAGTGACACAATTAAATTTCTTAAATATATTTGGCCTTGTAGATATGGAATTAAATTTAATGATCCTGTACCCCCACCAGGGAATACTTATCAAAGACAATGAGAGCTGGAAGCAGGGCTAAATAGCCAGAAAGATGATTTTACAAAATGCACTATATTTGAGCATTGCTCTCAACAGGAACTGTGCAATCTTGAATTTGCCTTCTAAAATTTTCCCATATACTGCTTAACAGAAATTCAATGATTTTGATAAAATGAGGTAAGGTCGGATACACTGCACAACTTGGAAGAATATGCATGAATTGCCACCTTAGATTTGAACCATTTTGTTTGAAGTTGTGCCTTTTGATTTGTTTTGAAATGTCTGCAGTGCTTTAACGTGGGGTTTAAGTTTTATATTTTCACACTAACAAGTATCAGTGTTCGACTTTGCAAAGTGCCAACATTTTCACTAAAATGGCGTTAATTTTGAGGTTGGTTGTACCAGACATTTGCTTCTTAGTTTGCATGGAATAAAGCAATGTTTAGCTTTTTGTGTGATCATCATATAATTCATTATGAAAGTTTACTATCATAGGAATGTTCTCAAATATGCACAAGAGGAAGAAAAATTCCCACAAAATATTATCCAAGTGTAGTCAACCTGCTGGTTGAGAGAAGGAGAAGCGAAGGAATTAGTACCAAAGTAAGGTAGAAAGAAAATAGGGAAAGAAACCTATTGACAAGTCAGAATAGAAGAACAGGCAAAGAAGTAGCAGCTGTAGTTTATTGTAGTAAGCATGTGACTTAATGCATCTTGAGAAGCAGATCAAAGAGAAGAAGCTATGATTTCAAACTAAACATGGAATGGATAAATTAAAAGAAAAGACTTGAGCAGAAAAGTGGCAAATAACATTCATGCCACAAAAAATGCCAAGCAATGATCTTCTCCAATAAGAGACAGTATGACCACTGGATTTTTGACATACAATGGCATTACCAACACTGAATCCCACACCATCAATGTCCTGGGGACTGCCATTGACCAGAAACTCAACTGGACTCGCCATATTAAAAACATGGCTTCTAGAGCAGATCAGGGGCTAGGAATACTGCAATGAGTAACTCACCTCCTGATTCCTGAAAGACTATCCACCATCTACAAGGCATGAGTCAGGAGTGTGATGGAACACTCCCCACTTGCCTGGATGAGTGCAACCCGAACAACACTCGAGAAGCTTGATGCCATCTGGACAAAGCAGCCCGCTTGGCTGACATCCCATCCACAAGCATTCACTCCTTCCACCACTGATGGTGAGTAGCAGCAGATAGTACTATCTACAAGATGCACTGCAGAAATCCACCAAAGATTCTCAGACAGCACCTTCCAAACTTGCAATCACTTCCATCTAGAAGGACAAGGGCAGCATATATATGGGAACACCACCACTTGCAAGTTCCCCTCCAAGCCATTCCCCATCCTAACTTGGAAATATATTGCCATTCCTTCACTGCTGCTGAATCAAAATCCTGGAATTCCTTCCCTAGGGGTATTGTGGGTCAACCTGCAGCAGCTCATTACCACCTTCTCAAGGTCAAGTAGGGACAGGCAATAAATACTGGCCAACCAGTAATGCACATGTCCCACTAGTGAATAAAAATAACATTCATCTAAATATTTGTTACAATGTAAAATGATACAAGCAATGTTCACTATTAATTTAGAATGATGCGGGGTCATATCTGGAAGATTAGTAAAGAACTATTGTAATGAATGCAAGTTTAATACTGGAAAAAAAATACAAGAATTTCTGTGACTTAATTTATCCTTTATTAATGAAAACATTTTCAAATGTTAGTAATGGCTAACCATGCACACGACAATACTGATAATGGTCATATTCCAGTAAATAGGGAATAGAAAATACTCTTTTGATTCACAACAATAAAGCCTTATTTTGTCATGTGGTACACAATGTGGAAAAGGTAGATATTTAATCAGCAAAGTTCATCAAAAATATGAACATTTAATTGATGTAATGTATGAACATTTAATATTCTTGTGCTTTATTACCATATGCAATAGTAACAATTTGCACAATATTGCAATAATAATTTCTAGCATGATGCTTTGAAATATATTCAAGTCTGCAATCTTTATTAATTATAAAACTTCACTGAAATCAATCATTGCTCCATGAAATGTAGTGAATGTTTGCGATATTAATGTGAAACAGACAGAGTGCATTTGACTTGATTATAAAGATTCTACTGCATATTTATTTATTACTGTTTGCTAACTTGTTTTGTATTGAATAAATTTTACACCAGCCTGTGACGATGAGTGCACTGGACTTCTGCTGAATGACCTTGAACAACTTAATAAACTAATTACTGGTCTGAATCTCTCAGGACCCTTCCCTCCTCCTTATAAGGTGCTTTATAGATATGAAAATATATCTCAGGAATTGAAGGCAAGTACATATTTCTGTTTCAATGTAGTTTTCCAAAATATATTAATGAAATAGATGAGAAAGAATAACTAAGATAAGTAAAGTCATTGTATTGAAAATATTAATTTGCTGTTTTTAATTTCGATGATATTACATCAGTTACAAAGCATTTTTCTTCTGTTTATGTAAACAACAACTTGTAAATACTTTGAACTAAATGCAAAATACAATTATGGAGCAATTTAGCCTTTGTAGAGCTAAGAGTCACAGGAAAGTCTATCAAAAACCACAGGAGAAATGTAAGCATGTAACTTATTGAAAAATTAAGAGTTCGAGTGGGCACTGTTATGACCAGGTGAGGAGGGGTAATTGACTCTTTTTTAAGCCCCTCTCAGTCAGTTGCAAATAAAAATTTAAGAACATAACTATCACACTTCAAATAAAACATAACTAATGAGATCAAAATTAAAGAGCCAAATTACAAGGATTTCTTGAGTGTAAGAAAGAAGAATTTTATTACTTGCTAATCCTGAAAAAAAAAAGAAACCACAACGTCAAACACAAACCCAAATGCATGTGATATATTTACAAAGGAGAATGGTCTCGTTTGGACAGGGAGAATAGATTATATCTTTTTAAAAAAGTGATGTTTGATTTTGAACCCAGGAGCAGTTGTTTAATTGTTGACTCATTTTCTGAAGTAATAGATCTTCAGATCTTGGTGAATAGTTGTTTTCCACCTACTCAAGGAGAGGTGATGGCCTAGTGGTGTTATTGCTGGGCTATTAATCCAGAGACCCAGGTAATGTTTTCAAATCCTGGGTTCAAATAATGGGTTCAAATCCTGCCATGGCAGATGGTGGATTTTGAATTCAGTAAAAGTCTGGAGTTAAGAGTCTCATGACCATGATTCCATTGTTGATTATTGAAAAATCCCATCTAGATCACTAATGTCCTTTGGGGAAGGAAACTCTAATCCTTGCCTGTCTGGTCTACAAGTGATTCCAGTCCCACAGCAATGTGTTTGACTCTGAACTGCCCCCTCGGATGGGCAATGGTGGCCTAGCCAGTGACATTCACATCCTGTGAAATAATATTTTATAATATTTTTTCACTGAGCATTGACTTCAAGATCAGTAGAGGTATAGAACAAAAGAGATTCATCTTCTTGTTATCAGTTCATTTTCATTTTTACTCTGCCTTGCTGTTCAAAGCCACTATCGATATAGGTCCATTTGTATATTCCTGAGTCCATTCCATTGTCCTTCCAAGTTGAATACTCCATATGTAAGCTTTTGTCTCTCAATATCTGAACAATTTGTGACTGAGCAAGAGATACAAATTTCTTCACACCAACTTAATTATCTGGTTTCCATGCCCTTGGATAATTTCATGATTTCAGTGCAGCACGTTTAGTATATTTCACCTAGTTTGCCTCAATCTGTGGTTAGGTATTCACAGCAGCTATTTAAAGTCAGTATTTGTTCTTATTAAAAATCAGGTCTTGGCTATTAAAACTGAGATGACAGAAGTTGAATGTTGGTAGTCCACATTCACCATTATCATAGCATAACACCTTTTATTTTGAATGGCAAATTAAATAACACTTAAGGGTCTATATCAAGTGTTGTTGGATAAACACACCTGAAAGCAAATCTCTTGACGTGTGGCATACCTAAAAGCAAAATGAGTGCTGGCTGCCTGTCAATTGGGGTTGGAAAACCTTTGTACCTACCACTGGAAATTACACCTCCAAAAATCACTTGTTTGGTTCTGGATCCCTTGGCTTTAGGGTTACTGTCCCAGAAACAGCCACAGCCTTTTCTGCAGCATGACTGATAGCAAGAGCTGCTGGCTCCCATTGGTGTTCCTGGGAAACTGATTCCCATATATGCAGATACGTTTTGATGCTATAGTTGTAATGGTAATGCAGATTGCTTTAAGTGTATACCACAGTGAATTGCCTACATTTCTTTGTCATCAAAAGAGCATTATTGTGAACTAGTAATTCTTAATGCCTTGAAAGCAGAGGTTTAATTCTCACCATGACTGCTGTTTCAATTTAAATTGAATTGATAACGTTTGGGATTAAATCTCATCTCAATAGTGGCAACCAGTGAAGCCTCATTGATTGTTGTAAAAACCAATCTGATCCACTATTGTTCTTTAGGGAAGGAAACCTGCCAAGCTTATCATGTCTGGCCTACATATGACCCCAGACCTACAGCAATGTGGTCCTCAATCTTAACTACTCTCCGGGCAATTAGGAGTGGACAATAAATGCTGACCTTGCAAGCAATATCCACACTCATTAAAAAAAACAATCTTAATTTCAGGGGTGCTGCCCACATCGCGGCTTGGTATGGCAACTGCTGTGCCCAGGACCATAAGAAACTGCAAAGAGTTGTGAATACAGCCCCGTACATCATGCAAGCTAACTTTCCATCCATTGACTCCATCTGTACTTCTCACTGCCTCAGGAAGGGTTACATTGACTTTCCTGATCCTCGGATACTGTCTAACCTGCTGTGTTTTTCTTGCTTCATGTCTACTGACTCTGGCTTCCAGCATCTGCAGTCCTTACTGTCTCTAAATTCATCAAAGATCCCTCCAACCTGGTTATAATCTCTTCCAACCTCTTCCATCAGACAAAAGATACAAAAGCTTAAACACACACACCAACAGATTCAAGATCAGCTTCTTCCCCTCTCTTATTAAACTTCTGAATGGACCTTTCAAATTTTAAATTTAATATTGATCTTGTGCTTTGTGCACCTTCTCTGCATTCATAACATTATATTCTTCACTGTACTCTATTACTCTTACGCACTTTGCATAGTATGATCTGCTTATACCGCCCGCAAAACAAATCTTTTCACTGTGACTAGGTTCAGGTGATAATAATAAATCAAATCAAAATGATGGGCACTTGAAAGCTTCATCCAATTCACTTCAAGTTAGAATTGAGTGGGGTTTTTTTAGGAAGCTCCTTTCTGCTGTTATTGTTGACTTATATCATTGTTTCTCCATTAGTGATTGGGTGGTAGTTTTATTTCTCAACCTGCCATTTTCTGCTAGTTTTTATAAGAATGAATATTTTATTGGGTGTTTCCAGTGACTGTCATGAATTTAGAAAAAAATAAAGAAAACAGAGGGAAGAAAAACTCAAGAGCTAGTAGGAACTGCAGATGCTGAGAATCTGAGATAACAAGGTGTAGAGCTGGGTGAACACAGCAGGCCAAGCAGCATCAGAGGAGCAGAAAGGCTGACGTTTTGGGCCTAGACCCTTCTTCAGAAATGGGGGAGGGGAAGGGGGATCTGAAATAAATAGGGAGAGAGGGGGAGGCGGATAGAAGATGGATAGAGGAGAAGATAGGTGGAGAGGAGTCAGACAGGTCAAAGAGGCAGGGATGGAGCCAGTAAAGGTGAGTGTAGGTGGGGAGGTAGGGAGGAGATAGGTCAGTCCAGGGAGGACGGACAGGTCAAGGGGGCGGGATGAGGTTAGTAGGTAGGAGATGGGGGTGGGGCTTGAGGTGGGAGGAGGGGATAGGTGGGAGGAAGGATAGGTTAGGGAGGCGGGGACGAGCTGGGCTGGTTTTGGGATGCGGTAGTGGGAGGGGGGATTTTGAGGCTTGTGAAGTCCACATTGATACCATTGGGCTGCAGGGTTCCCAAGTGGAATATGAGTTGCTGTTCCTGCAACCTTCGGGTAGCATCATTGTGGCACTGCAGGAGGCCCAGGATGGACATGTCGTCTGCGGAATGGGAGGGGGAATTGAAATGGTTCGTGACTGGGAGGTGCAGTTGTTTATTGCGAACCGAATGTAGGTGTTCTGCAAAGCGGTCCCCAAGCCTTCGCTTGGTTTCCCCGATGTAGAGGAGGCCACAACGGGAACAGCGGATGCAGTATACCACATTAGCAGATGTGCAGGTGAACATCTGCTTGATGTGGAAAGTCTTCTTGGGGCCTGGGATGGGGGTGAGGGGGCAGGTGTAGGGGCAGGTGTGGCACTTCCTGCGGTTGCAGGAAAAAGTGCCGGGTGAGGTGGGGCTGGAGGGGAGTGTGGATCGGACAAGGGAGTCATGGAGAGAGTGGTCCCTCCGGAAAGCAGATAAGGGTGGGGAGGGAAAAATGTCTTTGGTGGTGGGGTCGAATTGCAGATGGCAGAAGTGTTGGAGGATGATGCATTGGATCCAGAGGTTGGTGGGGTGGTATGTGAGGACGAGGGGGATTCTGTTTTGGTTGTTATTGCGGGGAGCGGGTGTGAAGGATGAGTTGCGGGAAATGCGGGAGACACGGTCGAGGGCGTTCTTGACCACTGAGGGGGGGGAAGTTGCGGTCCTTGAAAAACGAGGACATCTGAGATGTACAGGAGTGGAATGCCTCATCCTGGGAGCAGATGCGGCGGAGGTGAAGGAATTAGGAATAGGGGATGGCATTTTTGCAGGAAGGTGGGTGGGAGGAGGTGTATTCTAGGTAGCTGTGGGAGTCAGTGGGCTTGAAATGGATATCGGTTTCTAGGTGGCTGCCCGAGATGGAGACAGAGAGGTCCAGGAAGGAGAGAGAGGTATTAGAGATGGTCCAGGTGAACTTAAGGTTGGAGTGGAAGGTGTTGGTGAAGTGGATGAACTGTTCAAGCTCCTCGTGGGTGCACGAGGCGGCGCCGATACAGTCATCAATGTAACGGAGGAAGAGGTGGGGTTTAGGGCCAGTGTAGGTACGGAAGAGGGATTGTTCCATGTAACCTACAAAGAGGCAGGCGTAGCTTGGGCCCATGCGGGTACCCATGGCCACCCCCTTTGTCTGTAGGAAGTGTGAGGAATTGAAAGAGAAGTTGTTGAGGGTGAGGACGAGTTCGGCTGAGCGGATGAGGGTGTCAGTGGAGGGGGACTGGTCGGGCTTGCAGGACAGGAAGAAGCGGAGGGCCTTTAGGCCATCTGTATGGGGAATGCAGGTGTATAGGGACTGGACGTCCATGGTAACGATTGAAACTCAACTCTGGTTTACTTTCTAGAATTTTGGCCCAGGCATAAAGGATTGTTTCCTGCTCCAAAAGTGGGTAGTACAAGTCATGTAATTTCTTAGCTCAGCAGACTCATCTTGGAGAAAAGTGCGCCATCACACCCAGGAAGGATGCACGGATGGAGACAGATCTGATGTGACCAGACAAGCATTGGAAGCACCCACGGGACTGCCGAGTGCTGAGATGAGCTCTTTAAAAAACCCTGCCTTGATTTTTTTGGGATTTTGTTGCAGTTGTTTTGTAAAACATTCGGCCTTCATGCCCTCATCCCTCACACTCCCTCAACCTCCGTCCACTCCGGATACCCACATATGCCATCTCATACCCCAGCCACCCTCATGGCCCTCGTAATTCCATGCCACCCCATAGCTCACATATCCTGATGGCCCCTTATAGCCTGTATTACAACTTCATGTCAAGTTATTCTAATGCCTATCTCCCCTGTAATTGATAAATATCTATTACAGTTTTCACTGTATAAAAAAACTGAATGCCAGTTGAAAATAGTGTATTTACAGCTTGATTATTTAGTTCCTATAAAAAGGAATCTTTGTGTTCATAATGACATATCAATGACAGATAATCTTTTAATAGTGTTTCTGCACTGTCAATTAAATTGTGAACTTACAACCCTTCTTTCTCTCAGTACTGATTGGTAGGGGAAAACATTCAAACATTAATAACGTTAACATTATTTAGGATTGTTACAATAAACAGCTATGGAAATAGAACAGATTTCTTTCAACTCACAAAGATATAGACAAGCTGTTTTGTTCCAATTTCAAGGGATGGACATTTAAATAGCTTGACAGCTTAACAGTGCTAGGTCTGTAGATATCTTGCCTACCCTACAAAAGCTTTTACAGCCTCTCCAGAAATTCATTAAGGAGGCTACAGCACTTTTGCCATTTAGCAGTCCAAATTACACTGTCTCATTAATGGCTCATTATTTATTTACTTATTAACATGCATAAAATTACAAAGGTTTATAACAGTAAAACACTCATATCCGAGTAGGAAAGACCTCTATTTTATTAATGTACAGATGGTGCTGGCACTACTTTAAGAATTCAATGAGCAGATAGTCACTATGATGGACCCAAACCACAACCATCACTCTCCCCCACCCCTTCCTCTTAATGTTGCTTGTCTGCTGTTACGTTAACTTGCTCCTCCTCACATGTGCCTACCAAATGTTACTTCTTGACCCTCTCAACCTTATATTGCCCAAAGTGAATGTTTCTGCCTTTGTGCCTGTGCACTATGCATTGCTCCTGTGACCAGCTTGTGTTTTTTTTTACCTGATGGCACTGACAGAAGTCAACAGCCCTGTGCTGCTCCTCGTCTGGGAACCTAGCCCCTGACTCGAGGCTTGGACCCCAATAATTAGACTTTGACGTGCACCCTGTCCCCATGTGTCCTCTGATGCCAAATGTATAAACTTGGTGGTTCCCTGCACAGAGGAAGAGAACACATGTTACCATGAGCAATACAGAATGTTGCTTTTACAGAAACAAGCCAATACAATGTGGTAGAGGATCTGAGATAACAAGGTGTAGAGCTGGATGAACACAGCAGGCCAAGCAGCATCACAGGAGCAGGAAGTTGCTTGGCCTGCTGTGTTCATCCAGCTCTACACCTTGTTATCTCAGATTCTCCAGCATCTGCAGTTCCTACTACCTCTGAAACAATTTTAACCCCACTGCAAAGCCTCTTCTGAGGATGCCTACCCTGAAGAAGTTACCCTCCTCCCTCCGGAAAAACCTCAGTGGATCTCTCTCCCACTGCAACTCTCTCGTAATCTCTTTGGCCGTTTTCTGAAGAAGGGTCTAGGCCCGAAACGTCAACCTTCCTGCTCCTCTGATGCTGCTTGGCCTGCTGTGTTCATCCAGCTCTACACCTTGTTATCTCAGTACAATGTGGTGTTACTCTTGGGCAGAGCTGCAACATGTTGTCCACTGAATGATTTTAAGGAGCAGAACGAAGGGGTTGGAGGCGACATGCATCTTGTTGTGATGCCCCGAGATGACATTTCAACACCTAGCCGTCCACTGTTTTCATTGTTCATTAGCTGCTAAATTTCCAAACTTCTCTGTGGCACCCTGCTTAGTATTACATCCAAATGGTCTTTGGTGCACAGCAAGTTTTCTCAGCATTTGTGGACACCATTGTCCCAGAAAAATCCAATTTTGCTCAAATTAACAAGCAGCTTTTTGCAGAGCTGCTGCAATACTATTGCACCTGTAAAATGTACAGCTTCAGAAGTTAATTTTGTCTTTGGATATGTATATAGGACAGAGTAAGTAATTTCAACTACCTTTCTTTAAGTTCTGAGGAAGGGTCACCAGACCCGAAACATTAACTCTGTTTTTCCCTTCACGGATGCTGCCAGACCTGCTGAGCTTTGCCAGCAACTTCTGTTTTTGTTCCTGATTTACAGCATCTGCAGTTCTTTTGGTTTTTATTTACCTTTCTTTAGTATTAACTTCTAAATATAAAACCTACAAGTGATTAAATTGCTTTGTGATTTTTCTTGGATTATGGGCTATAGCCTATTAAAAAAAATTGCCATTCATTGTAGCTGGTAGAACACTAAAGATGAATTGGTGTTTGACATTTGATAACTTTCATGTTTACAGTAAGTATGAGTTCAGCAGTGAAAAGAGTTCATAATCTCTTGTATACTAATTGTATTTAATGTCTATTTATTGATGAAATAAATATTTGCATTAGCAGTTTCTCTTTTTTTTAAAAAAGCCTGCAATAAATAATGAACAAAGATACTAACTCATCTGTAATGTAGTTGTGGTGCTTCTTGTGCTTAATATGAATGTCTCCTATAATTCGTGAACTTGTTCGTATATCTGCAGTACCTCATGTCACCTCAGAGAGCTCCAGAGAGACTTCTACAGCTTGCTGATAGTAACCTGGACACATTAATCACAGAGATGGATGAGCTACTGAACAGAGTAAGGGACAAATACAGTAATATAATTTAACATCAAAATACAGCTGAAATTTCTGTTGTTTTCAACACATACAATGTGATCTTTTGAGAAGATTCAGAGCTAATTTATTTAGTTTTTTTCATATTCTATGGCATAATATTTATGAAATAAATATTTGCATAAGCAGTCTCTTTTTTTAAAAAAACTTGCAATAGATAAAAATTAAGACTGAACATATAAACTGACTGAAAACTACTTTTGCAATAATCTCAAGGTTTTAACAGAGAACTAAAGCATCTTCTAATTATTATAGAACTCTGAATATATTCTACATTTGACAAGTAAATTTACAAATTGAAATAATGTTACTTATGTCCCTTTTTGTTATCCAAATCATTTATTAACTAAATTATTTTTGACTTAAAATTAGACAACAAAAGTTTCAGCAGATGGTGAACAAACTGATAAAGACACAGAGAAGACTGACAAACGAGCAAAGGAGTTAGAAAAGTCCATCAGACACACTATGTTGGCTACTCAAGGTAGAAATCAACTTATATAATCAGGATGTATTTTCAAAGTCAGTTTTGGAGTTCATTTGCTGTGAGTCAGTGTTTTTGACAGTGTTTTAGTTTAACGGAATATGTTAGATACCAATGGCCTTGACTTTTATGAGGTCAGGCTGATTCAAAAGAAGATGACAGGCAAAACCTCATTCTGAGATTACAATCCCAGTTTCCATTTCCAGCAATTTTTGGGACAAGAATGCAGGTAATGAGCCCGCGCACTGCCCTGCAGACCCAGCAGGCTCTATTCAGGGAGGTAAGTATCTTGTAGCGCTCCTCTTCAGCAATGTTCATGAAATATGGGCAGCTCCTTAATGACTCATGGTTCACGGCTCCTGAGAAGAGACGTGAACCATGGCCTGGATTGAGGAATCTTTTAACAGGTAACCATTTTTAATTTGTTCACAAAATGTGGGCATTGCTAGTCAGGCAGCATTTATTGCCGATCCCTTTTTTTCACATTATTTGTTTATAAGACGCTGGCATCACTGGCTCGGTGAATGTTTATTGTCCAACTCTAATTGCCCTTGAGAAACCACTTTCTTAGCTGTGCCCACAGTGTTATTGGAAAGAAAGTTCTGTGATGTTGACCTGGTGATGGTGATGAAATGACAATATGATTCAAGGTCAGGATGATGTTTGTCATGGAGGTGAACTTTGTGGCGTTCCAATTTATTTGTTGCTCTTGTCCATCTAGCTGGTTGAGCTCATGCATTTTGAAAGTACTGTTGAAGGACCTTTGCTGGGTTGCTTAGGTTTAAACCGTCTTCCCTATGCAGCAGAAACAGATAGCCAGAAATCTATTTTTCCAGGTGGCCTTATCATAAAAGCTTGTCTGAACTCATTAATGGAATCAGCTCAATGAGGGCCTGTTCAGACAGTTTGCGGGGAAATGTTTGATATCTTAACACATTTATAAAGTTATAATAAGTTATTCCTTCTTTGTGCTGGTATTTTAATATCTGTTTGCTTATTTGGGCAAGATTTAAAGGTGTGATGTAGGGTACAATGCACTTTCATAAGGCTGTCAGAGAAGAGATTGTTTTGGTTCTTTCTCATGAACATTTCACACACTTACCACTGTTATCATACAGCTCATTGGTTCTGAACATTTTGAATACTAGATACATAAGCATGGCAGATGCATAGGAAGGATATAGGGTTGCCCAAAGGCGTATGGGAGAGCCATGATTATTGACCATTGGCACTTATTTCATTTCCAGTTTGCCTCTGTCCTATATTTATGTCACTATGACCATTTTATTAAAAAAGAAGAGGTTGTGTGAGATGCTATTTCTCCCTGTTCCACCAGCTGAAATTTATGTGCAAATCCCAATGCAGATTTGACATATCTTTATGGAGGAATGACAAAAGTAAGCGCAAGCATCTGCAATGGACACACTTTTCCAAAATACATCACAATTTTTTCTTACAGTAACATGGTTATTTTGGAAGAAAGTCAGCCCATGTATCACTTATCAATTTGGAAAAAGCTATTCTTTCCAATATCAGGTATGAGGATTCCAGAAATTCTCAAGTCAGTGTAAAAACATGAGAATGAAACAATTTTGTATAATTATTGTCTTCAGGTTTGAGTTTCACAATGGCTTAGCATTCAAAAAGGCCCCATCACCCGATTTTGAAGCGGAGCTCAGAAGTTCTGCCTGGTGTCGTGGCCAACATTTATCCCTGAATCGATATTGGAGAATAAACTGTCTGGTCATTACCAAATTTCTAATTGTAGAAGCTTTTCTTGCGCACTGTCTCATGTCCTGCCTTCAACAGTGACAGTACTTCAAAACTATAAGCAATGAGGTCATGAATATGAATACAAGTTTTTTTTGTTTGGGGGCATCCCACTTAGCTAAGTTAACAAGGTGTAGAGCTGGATGAACACAGCAGGCCAAGCAGCATCAGAGGAGCAGGAAGGCTGACTTCTTCAGAAGGGTCTAGGCCCGAAACGTCAGCC